AACATTTAAAATCTGTTCATTATTCAAGACTCAGCTCAAATTCCTCTTTCATATGAAACCATGCTTCACCCCGCAAGGCTGAAAGTTAACTTCCCTCCTTTTGTGCTGTTATTGTTCTTTCTATGTGTGTCTTTCTTGATATAACAGGTTCTCCTTAATGTAATGTGTATGCATGTGTGCATGCATGCATACACACATGCATATACATAATCTCTCCTTGGGTCAACCAAAGGTGACCCGGGAATGAACACTAAATCCCGGGAGAGACATCACAAATCAAAAAGATCATTAATAGTCCCAATTCTTTAATCGTGTGGAAAAGAGGTACATGCTGCTGCTCTTGGGAATTTTTGCTCTGACTTTTGACAGAGCTATAGATAGGGTAGTGGTTACTAGTGGGGTGGAGGAGGATCGGGGAGGTAGACGGGATAAGGAGGGTCAAATATAGAGGAGTAGGGGGAGGGAGAAGGGGGTAAAGGGGATCTAATATATGGTAGCTGAAGGAAACTCGACTTTGGGTGGTAAACACACAATAGAATATGTAGATGTCAAATGATAACGTACACCTGAAAATTATATAATTGCATTAACCAATGTTACCCCAATAAACTTAAAAAAAAAAAGATGTCCCCAAGACTGACTTCATGAACTCATCCTCCCCCAGGTCCCGCTCAAATCAAACCAGTGCCACTGTCTGAGACTTGGTTTATTTATCCACAAAGATAGGTTGAGGTAGGCGGCTCCCGTGAGGCCACCTCATTCCCATGAAGCGAAGCCATCAGGTACCTCAAGAGAGTGTTCATCGCAGGCTCTTGCCAAGGCAGGATGTAGCCTCCTCTCACGTGGAGGTTGATGTGGTCGAGGGGAGCCTCCAGGACCCTCCACTCACCGGTGGATTCACTGCCAGATTCCTAGCGGGGAGAATACAGACGAGGATGGATGACAAGTGCCCGAAATGAACGCATGCCTTATAACAAGTCTTTCCTTCCCACGGAAGCGTGTTGGAAAGTCACGCTTCCGTGGGAAGGAAATACTGCAAATCTAAGGAGAAAATCTCTGACTTTCAGCTTTGCTAAAAACTCCGGAAATCTAGTCTTTTCTCTTTATTTTCCAGAAAAGGTAAGGCATCGGTGAGGAGTCAATGTGATAGGGGTATCAGATTTTATCTAGTTATGCTTTTGTGGATATTTTTATTTAAACGAACCTGGCATGGCGGAAACATGGAAAATGATTGTCTTGGAAAATATGTGCCTGGAAGTCAGGAGGAAACTAGCCTCCTCCAGCCTGCGTGGACCAATCTGGTTCCTCGCGAAATATGTTAGTTCTTACCGTGCTATAGTCATACCAACGGGCTCTGGGGAAGTACGCGCGGATCTCGAAAGTGTTCTGAAATGCAAAATCCACAGATCATTATGAATACGGCAATAATTTAACTTTAACTTTTAAAATTCTTTCTGTAGAATTAAGCTCAAATGGATACTTTATTAATAATTTTAAGAGTTCAGAGGTTTTTGGGAGAAAGATACTGGGAAATTCTTCATATACACAGAAAAATAAATTTTTTAAAGAGGTGAACTTTTAAGGATGCAAGGTGACAAGACATTACGATGAGAAATCAATGAAGGTTATGTTTTCATTAAGAGAGACTTCGAGAAAAGAAAAAGACTAGTGAGCCGGATGAAATCGTCTTTAGAATGCCCTTCCTGTTTTTAGATTATGGGATGGGACGGTTTGTGGAAAACTCACGCTTTCCAGCACGGGGCTGATTAGGATGGCGGGGCCCAGCATGAATTGACTGTCTATATCCCATGTTGTGTTGTCATCGCTAAACCTTAAAAATTAAGAATAAAAAACGATTCATACTGTCATGACTGCTGCGGAGGATTATTCACAAGGCATTCCCGGACCTGCGGCTTAAAGAAACAGGTTATACTCACTCGTGGAGAAGGGGTCGGACGACGGTGCTGCCCTCAACGTGAGCCTCGTGCATCAGCGTGTAGAGGTAAGGCAGCAGGGTGTACCTGGTCTGGAGGACTTTTCTCGAGTACATCTCAAAGGTTGAATTCCAGGCTACAGGATCTTGTCTCTAAAGGGATGAAGGAGCATATGATAGATCACTTCTCCTCTACTCCATCCTCATGGTATCAAGAAAGGACCAGCTGGCACGTATCCCATAGGTGGGCTACACACCATTTCTCCCTTCGTTTCTAGCCTACCTTTCCCCCACTCCGGCCATCTTACTAAACTAGAGCTTCTTGCTTCCTCCTCTTTATCACAGACTCCTAAGTCCCCTGCTCAGGCCTGGCCTTGGCCCTGTACCTGTGTACAGACACGGGTCTCTGTGGGTCTCTAACATATCTTGGGTGGATGTGAGCCCAGTATAAAGTCACTGTTCTTAAAAGCAAAGGAAGCTCCTTTTATCTGAGCCCCACAGGGAGCTATCCATGCTTCTCTCCTCATAGGCACTACCACCCCAAGAGATGAGAACAAGTATATTCTTGAAAATTGTTGGTAATCCTGGGGTTTTAAACTCTGTGAGGTTTCCAAGAAAGGGAGGTTCTGGTGATTTTTTATGAGTTTTCTCAACAAATTCTTAGGATGCTTTTGACGGCGAAAAGGAAGTTGTGATTCGGGCACAGAAAACAGCTGCAGCACAAACCGCCGCCTCACCCTCGTCCCGATGTTGTTGTGGTTTCTGGAAAACGGGTAAAACGCCCCCAGTTGCATCCAGCGAACACACATCTCATATTCTGCATCTCCAAAGAACCCACAGATATCTGCCCCTGTCTGAGAAGACACAAAATTAGAGCATGAGCTGGGACTTTGTCGGTTGCAGAAACACCAAGCTCTGACTGGGCCATTAGTAACGTGACTTACATAAGATATCCCAAAGAGACTGAACTCCATCATGCCTGCAATGAGAAGAGACAGTTAGGTGAGACAAAGCAGGCTTTCGGGAGGGTAGGTTTGTCCTGTTTCTTCTATACCCCATTTGAAAGCTCTGGGCCACTCGATGAAAATTCTGAAAGATATGTATAGATGAAAACTCACAGCCATAGAGAACTCAGCTCCTCTTGATTTCACTGGCCACAAAGACAATGATTACACACAACCAATGCGGCTGAGGAGCACACAGCCAGTCCGTTCCCCACCAGCAGAGGCCCCCGGGGTTAAGCCCACACACCAATGATAGATTTCCTCAGCTGGTCCCACGCAGCCGTGTTGTCTCCCAGCCAGTGTCCTCCCCAGCGGCCAGAAGAGGGGAATGTGGAGCGGGTGATGACGACCCCTCGCTGTCCTGTCACCTCCTGCACAGCTCTGGTTGGAGGGGAACACGGAGGTGAAATGAAGGTGAACTTGAGGGCGGACAGCCACGGACCTTCACTAGAGAGAGCAGCTTCAGCCTGGAGCCTGAGGCAGTGGTGGTGCTCCATTTTAGCCAGAGAGCATCCTGCATCCTCCCTTAGAGTACCTTCCACTTAAAAGTGATGCTAAGGATCCCAGTGGCCTCACAGAAAGACAACTGGAGATATGAGATCACCTAAAATGTAGATTTCCTTTCTTAAAAAAAAAAAAAAGTTGAATTAACTAGCTGACTACACAGAAGTAGGAGGAGGGGGTGGGACGAGGTACAGGGCAGATGTATTTATGGAACAATCACTCTATTCCAGGTGTAATACTGGTCGCTTTCATGTGCATCATCTCATAATCTCACAAGGAAGGTTTCCTTCACTTGTTTTTACCGTTAGGGAACTGAGGCTCAGAGAAGTTCACTAATTCATCACAGGCCACTTAAAAAGCGAGGAGGCAGATCTGGGATCCTAATAAAAGTATATATGACCCAGCATTTTTGGTAATATTCGTTCTTATGCAACTCCTCAAAAAGCAGAATAAATTTTGCACATAGAGGCAAATACGCATAAAAGATGTTTAAATATTTCTCGATCGAAGGCGGATCTGCTGCACACAACCTCAGTCAGAAAACAAACGAAGATCACGTGAGAGAAAAAATCAATGGAACAGAAGAGAAAGTCTATTATGCTAGAATATAATGCAATCCAAACATTTGCTAAATAAAGCATCGCAAATCAATAGACACAGATGAATTATTCAATAAATGATGTCAGGGGAGGAAGCTAGCTACTGTAGCAGAAACTAACTCAGTTAGGTCACTTCCAATGTTTCGCACCAAAATAAATCCAAAAATGGATGGAGGTGTGCACGCGTGCCTACACACACATCTGAGTGAGAGATAGTGAAGGCCTGGGGTAGACAGTAAGGGTGGATGTGAGCAAGGCAAAGAACTTTGTCGCTGACCATTTCAGAACTCTAAAAATCAACCAGCTATACAAAGAAATGAAAATCGTCTGTCTAAGAGAAAGTACTAAATCTTAGCAAGACAGTGAGTCTTGTGGGATAACTTGGGGCTATTTCTAGCTTGCCCCTTCCCTAGCTCATTGTCACCCAAAGCCAGCAGCAATCTTGCGGCAAACAGAGAGGCCTGATCTCTTTTTTGCAACTCTGTTAAAAGCACCATCCCCAGAGCGCAATAATTTGTTTTCTAACTTGCAGCCCCCTGGAAAAATCTCTATTCCCAGGATGTTGTGGCCACTTGATTTGACTCAGAGCTCAACTCAGCAGAGAGAAAAAAATTCCCACCCCCAGGGAATTAATAAAGCAACAAATTTCTGGCAACATCACAGATGCTCAGGCTGTGGTTTCGGCTGGGGCAAACAAAAGCTTGGCTGGGAATTTAAAAGTAAATCCTAGAGAATTAGAGCCTTAGAGAACTTTGTACAGTTGCTACATAGTCATGGGGATCTAAAAGACTGCATATGCACAAAGCTTTGTGCATGTCCAAGAAAAAACCACGAAAGGAGAAGGTTCCAGTTACTCACTTTGTCTGTACTGGAGGCCCTGGGCAAGCAGGAAGTGAAAGGTGAGGCTGTCTTACAAACTGCCTGAAGTTTGAAGGCACGCCTTCTCGTACTCATCCCCTTGCCGAAGGGTATAAGACATAGAGGCAAGGAATTTAAGGCGACTAGAATGGCTTCAATGTTCCCCTCAGCTTGAATGAATTTTATGTTAGGCTTCTTCCTGATTCTAAGAACCTGCCCTCCCCTTTAGAGCATTTACTTTAGAAAAGTTTCGATGGTAAATTCTTTCTCTGCCCCTTTGAGATGTAAAACTTTTAAAAGGTCTCTTGCTGGTGTCGCAGCCCAAGGATCTCCCTTGGAAATGTACTTAGCAAGGAAGACAGTGTCTAGAGGAGACCAGAAGTCTCCATGCTCCAAATGTAACACTCCCTCCTGTCATGACGATAGGAGACATTTACTTTTCCTTAGAATAAGGTCAGTTAGCAAACACAGGTGGCCTATGAACCCCCTACCGCAGCTCTCAAAATCTCTGTTTCAATGAAGTTGAGCCCAGATTGAGTTCTGCTCACTCTTTTTTTCTTTCTCTTTCTCTTTCTCTTTCTTCTCCCTCCCCCTCTCTCTCATTGTAATAGCCTTGAATAAAGTCTTCCTGGCCTATTTAACTTTGCCCAGTGTAAGTTTTACTTTGACAAAGGCAATCTCCCAACTGATCGCTGTCCGACAACTAAATTATGCGGATCCAGCAGTATCCAAGGAAGCCAGGCTTAAAAAATCGAAAAAGAACTTTAAAAGAAGGGGTAGCAGAGAATTCAGTGCCTACAAACTACAGAGAAATACAGAATCTATGGAATTAGATGGAAAAGTTGCTAAATAAATAAGCCATAAGTAAAACAGCAAAAACAGTAACAACAAAAGCACAGCAACAACAACAAACCCTGTGTGTGGGGGGTGAGGGGGATTTTATGCCAGAGTTGTTACAATTTATTAACTGAAACGTTCAGTTTTCAACAAAAAATTAAGTCATGCAGAGAAACATGAAAGCATGCCAAATACACAGGAAAAAAAACAGCCAACAGAAAATGCTGCTGAGGGGCTTCGTAGACAAAGACTTTAGGTGAGCTATTATAAATCTATCCAAAGAGCTAAAGGAAAGCATATCTAAATAATTAACAGAAAGGACAACAATGATGTCTCACTAAATGGAGGATGTGAATAAGGAGACAGAACTAATTTAAAAAGGAACCAAATAGGAATTCTAGAGTTGAAAAATGCAATAACTAAAATTAAAGATTTACTAGAGGGACTGAGCATGAAGCAGATGTGAGCTAGCCGAAGAAAGAATCAGCAACCTTGAAAATAGATCAATAGATACCGTGTGGTATGAGTAGCAGAAAGAAGAATAAAGGAAAGTGAACAGGACATCAGAGACATGTGGGACACCATCGAAGGTACCAACATACACATCCTTGGACTCTTACAAGGAGAAAAGAAAGAGAACACATATTTGAAAAACATATTTGAAAAAATAATGCCCAGAAGCTTACATGCTGAAAATGATAAAATATTGCTGAAAGACGTTAAAGGGGATCTAAAGAAATGAAAAGACGTCCCATGCTCAAGGATCAGAAGACTTAGTATTGTTAAGATGGCCATCTATAGCCATGCCACCCTGAACTAGCCCGATCCTGTCTGATCTCAGAAGCTAAGTGGGGTCGGGCCTGGTTAGTACTTGGATGGGAGACCACTTAGGAAAACCAGGTGCTGTAGGCATGAAAAATAAAAAATAAGGAATTGTAAGCTGACAAGGTCCTTGCAATCTGTGAGGTCAACCAAGGGTTGCTCTGGCTAAAAAAAAACTTTTTAATTAAATTAAATTTAAAAAAGATGGCAGTACTCCCCGAACTGCCTTCCAGAGCCAGGGCAATCCCCGTCAAAACCCTTGTTCCTGTTTTGCAGAAACTGACAAGCTAATTCTAAAATTCAAATACAAGGGACTCAGCATAGCCAAAACAATCATAAAGACCATAAAGAACATAACGACCACATACTGTATGAGTCCATTTCCATGAGTGTCCCAATTATGCAATCCACATGGACAAAAAGTGGCTGCTGGGGCTCGGGAGGCGGGCACAAGGGCAGGGAATGACTGCTGATGGGACCAGGGTTTCCTTTTGTGACAACAAAAATGCTCTAAAATGTGATTGTTGTTATTTCTATCAACTCCATGAATATGCTAAACACAACCTAACTGCTCACCTTATTTTTTTATTTAAGTATATTTGACATATAACCTTGTGCAAATGTAAGGTGTATGATATGCTGATTTGATATATTATGTGTGGAAGTCTGGTTGCCCCTGTAGTTATAATTAGTACCTGCTCACTTTAACTCAGGGAATTTAGCAACCTACTTGGTTAATATGACTTGGAGGTTGTATGGTTGCTTGGTAAACCATACTTGCTATTTTGATGTTCATCTGTTCAATGTGCATCATGTAGATACAAGCGCAATACATATATATATATATATATACACACACACACACACACACACATATATGACAAGACAAAAGTAACGTGGAAAATGATCTTTGCTGCCAGTGACAAAAGCACACTCACTCGTAGGTGGGCCGCGTCTGGGACCACCCGTACAGGCTGTGCACGTCGTAATGCTGCACCCGGGAGCCGTCCGCCAGGATCTGCTCGCTCTCCATGCACAGGGTCTTGCTGCTCAGACCCTGGTCCCTGGACTCCAGATCTGGGAGGAAATGCTGAGTTATTTCCTGATCAACCTGATCTGCACATTCACTGGAAATGCCCATCGGCTTGGCATTTCTCTATTTCAATCAATGACTTCGCTACCAGTAACAGCTCCAGTTCCAAGAATGTTTTTGCCTACAGAATCAATGTGCTGTGACCTTGTAACTAATGGCAAGGACAGCGTGTAGAGCTGGTAAAGGCGCCCTTCTTTTTTGCTCCACTCAAACATTTAGCAGCATCATAAGCTCCTTCATTGGTATGACTGTGTCTTCCACTAGATGGTAATGTTCTCAAGGGAATAAGGCTTGTTTCGATCAACAACAACATATTAATGTTGCTAAAGCATCCTGATTTGTTAGTACTTGCCTGATACACGAATATTAACTTAAGGGAAGAAGGAGAAAAATAAGAAAGGAAGGGGGAAGAGAAGAAAAGAGGGAAAAGGGAAGGAAGGAAGGAAGGAAGGAAGGAAGGAAGGAAGGGAGGGAGGGAGGGAAGGAGCGAGGGAGGAAAAAGAAAGCCTGGGTATGTTTTCGGGAGGGAGGGAGGGAGGGAAGAGCAATAGGAAGCACAGTGATGACCTACACATCAAGAAACTTGGATTCCAGATTCCCCCCCACAAACTGCTGGCGTAGTGCTTTCAGGAAGGTAAGTCACTTCCTCCCCTGGGTTTCTGTAAGGTGAGAGAGTTCACCATTCTGAGAGGACTTTGAGTCTCTATTTCTGTTTGTACTATAGGTCAACCAGGGTGTGTCCTTCATCAAGTGCATGAAGTATCTGTGAACACGAGCAGGAAGAGTGCAGGGTAGGTTTCTATTCTCTAATCAAAAGAGCATGTGTTTATGTGTGTGAGTGTGTGGGGGGTGTGGTGTGGTATGTAGGGTGTTATTTAAAGTCTTAGCAATCGGCTCATAGTTGACAATGTACTCGAACGTACCATGCATTTCCTGGCTCCTGTCACCCACATCGAGTCATTCTTTCTATGCTCGATTAGTCATTTATTTGCACTTACTCTTTTGGGATTCTGTATCACATTTAAGAGTGTTCTCTCTTCAGAATGAGACTTCCCTCTGACAATAAGGGGAAAACTCTCAAGGTTTTTGAGCAGGGAAATAATTTGATGAAGAAATCAGTTTACATACATGGCATGTAGGGTGGATTATTAAGAATTTCATCACTGCAGCCCACGACAGATCCATTCACAAAGTTTGATGGCTCGTTCATATCCTGAAATGAGTAAAAAAGATTTTGTGATGTCAGTGGCAGTATGGCCTTTGCTACAGAGGTCACCGACCTCATAGAGATGAACGTATCTTATTTAAGTCCTCGCATCAGCTGGTGGCTTCACTGACTGTTGAATCTCGGGCATTGACTCAAACGGACTCTAAGAATTCATGTTGGTTCAAGAAGAGCACCAAACTCCTAGCTTTCTTGGCATTGTTCAACTTGCGAGGATTGTTTCGTGGGGACAGAAGTATTGAGATGATGCTGGATCTACGACCTAAGGAAATCTCCTCTTGATCCGAGTCCTCCGACTCTATCTCACTTTCTCTGCTCACTTTTTATCTGAGGTCAGTGGTTGCTATGAGCTCCCCCTCCTCTTTCTTAGCTCTGTAGCTGGACTAATTCGGACATCAGTGTAGTCCAAGCACGAGGGGGAATGTCTTTCTTCCTGCGGTGGATGCAGTCCCGGAAAGCCACTGGCAACTCAGAAACAGATCTGGAAATCAATACTTACTGGGGTTTACTACTTAAGTGCAAGAAACAGCAATTCCTGAGGTGAAGGGTCACTGCCTACTTTATCAATGGAAAAGTTAAATTTCTGTGTATTGGACAATAATAAGCAGGACATACTAAAAGGCAAGGGTAAGTATCTTGGACATTGTTGACTATTTCGAGTTTGCAGCTTCAGCTTTCCCTCCAATGGAACAAGACCCCCGAAGGTATCAGTATCTATCCCTCAGCACTGCCCACGTCTCTTCAGTGCATGTTTTGCCTGTTTGGGTTAATCTGTGCCCTTTCACGTGTCTGCTCTGTGCCTATCCATCCTGAAGGTGAGTGACTGGGGAAGCCCCCGTGCTGCCAGTAGGCTTAGGGGTTTGTGTCTGGGTGAAATATGGCTTCCTTCAGCCTGGCTCGGACCTGAGGAGCCCTTCAGAGCTGGCCCAGAGTATGCTCAGGACTCCGGGCCACTGGGCAGTAGGGAACGAAACTGGGACATTGATTTGTTCCCATCCCTAGAAAAACACACATAGAAGAGCTCTGGACACACGTCCCAGAGACATCTCAGGAAGCCCTGCTCCTAGGCCCTACCGACGTGTGTAACGGACACCTGAACAGGCTTTTGAAGCCATGCCCTCAGAGGCATCCCCACCAGCATACGGGAAACATGTTTCCTTTGGGATTCAGACCTTGCCCTGGGCCACAGAGTGGGCTCCCCGGACTCCTTAGTGTTGGCTTCTGGTCAGGTTTGGCCAATGAGGGGCACTGGCATAAGACTGGAGGAGGGTGGGCAGTAAGAGAAGCCAGAGTATTTGCTATCTCTTTCTCCGGCATCGTCCCCAGCGATGGCACGTCTCCTCCACAGTCTCCATCTTCCACCAGGCCATATGGCCCCAGGCAGACCTGCACTTACCTCTGGGCTCCGGGTGGTCCCAGCACCTCAGTTCTGTAACAGCACCCCTCTCTTTCATCCCTCCAGCCCTAACTCCCGGCTTTGCTCGCCTCTGCATGGCCTGCTTGTATTTCCAAAGGAAAACCACCCAGGATGCACTTACAATCCACAGTCCGTCAAACTTCAAGCTCTTCTCCGACTCTCGGGGGTTTGAGTAGAGCTCTTCTATTTCTTTCTTCCACCATGCAGCCGTGCTGTTTCGTAAAAAGTCAGGAAAGGCAACGTGGGCTCTGTACAGCTGTAAGAGCAACACAGACGCTCACACTGGGTCCCAGCCCATCCAGGAGGGGCGTGTGGGGATCAGGAGGGGATGTGAGCAGGTGCTTGTGCAAGGCACTGCCCCTCTCTATATGCACCCTGACCCAGGTCTGCTGCTGCTGCTGCTGCTGCGCAGTTTACTGTGGACACTAAGGGATCAGGGAAGGCTGATTTCATTCTTTATTTCCCTAGGACATTAGATTGTCATAAGTCCCTTTTACACATGGGATTCATTTTATGACTGGACATTTAATCATATGAAATGGAAAATTAACTGTCAGTGTCTAAACTATCAAACTTCAGAGATACAAATGCTTTGATCACTCTGGCCAATTGAAGGAGGCCCATCATCCAGGGAAAAGTAAGCTGCATGGTGGGTGGGAAGCAAGATGCCCAGGCTGACATGGCATCAAGTCCTGAGATCGAAGACATTATCCTTTTAACTAGCTTATATTTTCTTTTGTATGAAGACAATTCACTAAAAACCCAGTCTGTTCATAACCTCCCCAGGGAAAATATTCTAGACTTTGGTTCATTATTTTTCAAGCAATATTAGATTCAAACAAAATACAACTCATTGAAGGCACACTTGTGAAGGTATCCCATTCATGATTTCCTTCTACACATTTCGATTTAGCTGCTTGTTGAATTTTGCATTTGAGAATCTTTCTCTGCCAAGAAATGACCAGTTGATAAGCATACTCAACTTAGAACTACTTCACAAAACTCATTAAGTATCCAGATATTTAGGTCAAGGTAGACCAAAATCTATGTGTGACTGACTATACCTTAACCTGAGTTTCTTGGTCAAGGGATCCATCCACATTCACATTGGGCAGATCTGGCCACACCTAGAGAAAAACAAGAAAAATGAAAGCTTTTCAAAGGTATTAATACAGACGAAGAGATGTTTCACATGTTAGAATCTAAGGACAGACCTCTCCAATAAAATTCTTGTAGATCTTTGCCATTAATTGAGTTGTAAAGTCTAAATATATGAAATTCTGTTAGCTGAAAATAGGCTGGGTCTTTTGACTCATTCTGTAAGTTATCAGAATTTCATTTTTAAATTTAATGACCAACAGAATCCATTTTAAATATATCCTCCGAACAATCACCTTTCAAATGATTGCTCAGCTCTCTGTTATGCCTGTCGCAGACCAATAACAAAATTCCCTTTATGAATAACAAACATGAAGTGTGACACTAGAGAAATGAGGTTGATTTCCATTAGCCTCAATACTTTTAAGCAGCGTTGTGACTTCTCGGGAGCCCCAAGTACATGTAGCATTAAAAAGTACATAGTATCAACCGATTTCATCTATAATTAAAAGAACACTAACTCTATTTATTAATTCATTCAATCAGGAAACACCTATTGAGCACTTACTATACGCCAGGCACTCTTCTACAATCTGTATCCACTGAGATTTAAGTAAGAAACAGCCCTTGTTTTCTGAGTTAGAAGATGAAACGTATGCTAAACTCTCAGAGGGCAATGGTACAGAAAAGGGAGAGTTAAATTAGTCACTGAAAGCTTCATAAGAGGAAATGTTTGAGTTGGTCTTGAACTGCAGATGTTATTTGGGCAAGCTGAGAAAGTAACATTCAAAGGCACAGCAAACATAGCATGTACCCACAGCAAGAGGAAGTAGCATGATATAATTACAGAGAGAGTTTGAATCGTGGCTAAGAGCTTCTGTCATCTGGAGTCAGGAAGTTCACCTAAAATCCTGTGGCTCTAAATCAAACAATAAGGATGAAGGCTGGGGCTCCAAAAAGGAATTAAAGGAGATAAGAGAAGGAGGGCCATCTATAGGATTTAGTGATTTATTTAGACGTGGAGGCTGATGAAGCATCATAGGCCAAAGATGAGTACAGGTGTTGAGTGTGGGTGACTGGGAGACACAGACTTCGGAGCCATTCCTAAACGGATTATTTATGTGTGTCAAATGACTGGCTGGTCCACATAAGGGATGGGACATCAAAATATTTCCAGGCAATAAAACAAAGGTCACTGATATTTTAGAGGATAAGATCTGTGACCTTGGTCTTATTAACTGTTTACTGAGCTAATCAGTTACAGATAGATTTCTACTCATCATAATTTATAAATTACCCAAATCATTTTGTCAAGATTTATTAAGAGCCTCTTTCAATCAAGACATCATGGTGCTGATTAATTATAGACACCTCCTCCCAATCCTTACCTTTCCCCAGACAATATCACCATCAGGCCATGTGATGAATACATTGTTTTCCTGCCCTCTGGTGAATGGGAGATACTGGGTCTCATTGCCAGAAATGGCCGGATCCTGCAATAAAAGGGTTTAAAGCAGAAAACATGAGAAAACCATTTCTAAGAAAAATCCTCTCCAAAATTTTAAGAATTCACAGTGCAGAAGAAATGGTGAACTTCAATACAAACAAACAAAAATACAACCCATGGATCATTTGCCTTATGTCTACTGGGTAGTTGAGAAGTAAAAGAATATACTGATGCTTCTCTATAAAATTCTTGAGAAAAAAAAAATGCTGGCTAATGTTTGATAACAATTCCTGGAGATAAACTAGGTTAACAAGACATTACCCTCATGTGGAGAAAGCCAATTTATTGTTTCCAAGGTGTAACAGCAATATTCCTCAACAACATGAAACTTTTTTCTTCTATTCTGTGGCCCAATTTATCCATCTCAAGTGGCTTTCCCATTCACCCCATCCCTTATCTATCCCATTTCATAACTGTCATGTAAATCTTCACCATCCAAAATTATATTTTTAATTGTTTATTTATTGGCTGTATTTCTCCAATAGAATATAATCCCTATAAGAAAAAGGACATTGTCTTATTCATTAATTTAGATTACAGACATAGCTTTTAGAACAGTGATTTTCAAAGACCTAGTGCTTAATAAACAATGAATGAATGAGTGAATGAATGAGTGAACAAACAAAAGTCAGCAAATAATACCCTAACTTTTGGAAGCTAGACTTTTTTTTTCTACATTCAGTGTTTTAGCTCACAGTTCTTCTAACTCTACCAAGAGAACAGTAATAATAAATTACAACTCAGTGACACTCAGGACCAATAAATATTGCAAAGTATCATCTTTTAAAAGCTATTTTTCAAGGGGATCAAATATATGGAAACTGGACTTTGGGTGGTAATCACACAATAGAATATATAGATGTCAAATTATAACGTACACCTTAAAATTATATAATTGTATTAACCAACGTTACCCCAATAAATGTAATAAAAAAAATAAATAAAATAAAAGCCATTTTTCTCATTTGTTCTTTCCTCCTTTATTTGATTTTTAAAACTTAAAAAATAATAATTATAGATGCATAAGCAGTTGCACAGATGTGCAGAGAGTTCTCATGTACTCTTCATCTAGTTTCTATCGATGGTATTATTTTTAAAAAATGAACATAGAAACAAGAAATGGGATCTAATCTTTCTAAATACCTACCAGAATGAGGATAAATCTCATGCCATTTTGCTTCATTTGCTCAATCAGGAGACTGAGGTTTTGAAAGCTGGTGCTGAGGGTGAAGTCCAGCTTCCGGTCCATGTAATCTATGTCCACATGCTGAACATCCTACAGGAAGGAGCAGCAAGGTGTTTGGGACCTCCGGCAGTTCCCCTCAGGGCACACAGACTGCTCTGCCAGGCTCCAGGTCCTGACACTTGCCGACCCCAGCCCGGGTCCCTCCGAATTTATCCCATTACTCCCCTAGACGGACTTTTCATTTCTGCTGATTCCTGCATACAGATCACCTGTCCCCATTCCCTCTCCTTCTCCAGTTCCTCCAACTGGAACTCTCTCCCCTTTCCTTCCCTCAATTCAAATCTTATCTACTTTTCAAATCTTGAACTCAATGAACCTATCAAAAAAAATGCTAAATATTCAAGGGTAGAAAGTAGGGCTCCCCTGAGAAACAGAAAAGATTATATCTGTTTTCCCTTTTTTCTCTAGTCAACCTGACTGAATTTATCTGCATTTAGAACTATATTATTTTATAGCATTCTAAAATGTATATACTCTTTCCACCATCCCAATTTGTCTGGATGGTCCTCGAGTTGAGAACCTTGTCTTTTCTTTTCTCTATATGATACCAATCCAGATTTCTGCACATGAAATGCACTCAGTCAAAGATTGCTGAATGATGGCTAAAGTGGTTAATATTTGGTTTAAAAAAAAGAGATGCTTCTTTTTAGCCTAAAGGTGACAATTACCTGTATTGCATTAAGACTCTAGGTAAAACTTGAGAGAGTAGAGGCATATGCATTAGCCAAAGCTTAGGAAAAACATGAACCAACATATTATTAATATTGATTGCCTTGGTGAGGTAGCTCTGTGGATTTTTTCCATCTTTCAGTTTTCCTATCTTTTCTAATTTACGTTTAGTAAGTATAGTAGTATATAAACAGAAAAAAATTAAGCCTGGATGAATGTTTCAAATTATCTTTGATGAGAACATCATAACACTTTATTTAATCCTCATCTTCTGATCAGTGATTGTCCTCCACAAACTCAGGAGGTGAATTAAAAGTATAAAGAGAAAATGAGTAATGAAAATTTGATCATTATAAGAGGAGAAAGAGCGTGCTATTTGTGAAATTCTGCTTGCTGACAGAAATTGACTGCACTTGTAGGGGCTTCTCTAGGGGCTAGGTTGTCATTGTAGGATATGCATATATGCGTATTTGTGTTTAACAGAAAGTGAAGGCTTGATTTTAACTATTTTCTTTTATACTGCCACTTTATATCCATCCTTTCCAAGGACAGTCAGAATATAATCTCCGAAAATTGTCATAATCTTGACATGGTTCTCACTTGGAAGTCCCCAAAGTCATGGTTTAAGCCCAGCCACGGCTACTGTAGCACAGGATATTCTTGGCAAGAGGCAGTGAGTAACATTACCCTCCGCTCATTTCTGGATTGATGCCCTTCGGTTTTGTACCCTTGATTTAAAAGAGTAGCACGCAATACATTTGAAAAGCAGGACTAGCTCCACAGCTACATTTTCTCTGTACTGAAGTAGTCATCAGTGATTTCTATGAAGACATTTTCAATTTATAATTACACACAAATCCCCATAACTAAAGCACGAGTGGAGCGAGGGTTTCATACGTAGGGAATCTGGGCTGCTGTCATCGCATTGTATAAATTGGAGATTTCGGTATCACTCTGATATCCATAGCGACTCAGCTGGAATCCCAAGGCCCAGTACGGAATCATTGCTGGCCGACCGATCAACTGGAATAACAAAGAAAAATGGATCCAAGTAGATTTCTTAGGGAAGAAAAGAGTGTTGGCTTATGGTTGAAGCAACTTGGGCTCATCTATTGAGTACCGTCTGATCTCAGAGGCCTCGCTCAAGAAAAATAAAAAAGTTGAATAAATGTGGAACGACCGTGGGGATGCAGAAAGATAGAAAGTCCTCTGTATTCTAGAGTCTCCACTCTAGGAAACCTGAGAACTCAGTGGTTATTACCGATTAGAGAGTGTCAGAAAGGCTATTTGGCAAATAATTAAGAGACACATGGGTTATTAATATGCCTTTATAGCCCTTTAACACTAAAACCTGACTTTTAGAAAAGACGGCAATAATGTAGTAGGGACATTCAAGGGCCATAAGAAAATAATTGGCCTTTCTTGGTGCCCAGATTGTGGTAACACCCAGTAAGTGCAAGATGGTTGGACAGTAAGTGACTAGAAGGACTTCTAACCTCGGTGTACTGCTGAGTTACCAGCTCGGGGGTTGGCCCCAAAACTACGTAAAAGTCCAAAATCCCTCCTGTGGTGCGGTATGTCAGGGCAGGAGTGGGCTGGAATGTCACATCTGTTTAAAAGAAAAAAAAAATGAAGACTGAGCATCTTTGGAACTGTGTATTACCCAGATAGGGAATCTGCCCTAAAATTTGCTATTTTCACTCCTTTTCTTTAGTGCCCTCCTCCTATAAAATGTCTTCTCTCATGCAGTAGAACCAGAATGGACTTTTAGGTACCCCAAACATAATCTCAGTCTCAATGTCTTATGTCACTCTGTGAACGGTAGTTAAAATGTCACAGTTAAATAAGTCATACAAAAGCAGGGACCTTGTTTACTCAAAATTTTACTCCTAATACCTGGCCTAGAGTTCTTAGTAAATTGTGAATAAATGAATGAATGAATGGTCAGTTTATTTGTTCTATGTCCCTTGTCTTTCAATTTCTCTATTTCTATTGATATTCCAGATTTCCATAAAGTTGTCACAGCTGTTTATGGTGGTCCTTGGGGGAGGCGCCTCTGTCTTACCCATGGCATTGCTGTTCAGCAAGAGCACTCCGTGGGCACTGCCATCCTCCTCCAGTGCCATGTAGTAGGGGTGGACACCGTAGGAATTCTTCTCGTACTGGGGCAGTCAGGGGGGCGGGTGGGTAAGCAAAAAGACAAAAGCCAAGAACTTCTTTCTACCTCATAACCAAACCAGCCAACTCCTACTCAACGCTGAAGGTTCAGCGCAATGCCATGTCCTTTGTAAGGCCTTCCTTGACCCCGCCTTCCACCCCAAGCAAAGAGCTGAGTGTCATCCTTGTTTATTATTACCTAACTCTATTACAGTGATGATTACGCTGTTATCATTATTTCCATATCTCGCTCGCACGTGCTATTTCCATATCTTGCTTGCACGTGCGCGCGCTCTCGCTCGCTCTCTCTCTCTCTCTCTCTCTCTCTCTCTCTCTCTCTCTCCCTCTCTCGCACCGGTCTATAATCCTCTGGAGAATAAAGACAGTGTCTTATTCTATGTGTGTCTGACACATAGAGTATATTAAACAAAAGTTATTGAAATAGATAAAATTATTAGTCCACAGGGAATATGCACATGCGTGCATAATAAGTGTATATATATTCTAAAAGACTAAAAGGTTATCTATATCTATCTATCTATCTATCTATCTATCTATCTATCTATCTATCATGTCTTTTAGGGACAGAGGGTAGACCATATGGCCTATTTCATCTGAGAATAGAATTTGTCAATATAAGGTGAAGCTGAGGAATAGGGTATCATATATAGACATATGGATTAAAATAAATTTACATAGAGAGAAACCAGTTGATAATCTTAGTCTTCTGTGCTTACCACTGGGGGCTCGTCTCGAGCAAACATTCCCCACGTGCTCCAGCTAATATTTCTTCTGAAAGTCGTGTGCTCAGTTTCCCCAAAGCCATAGATGTTCTGAGAGGGGAGCCGAGTAGAAACGGAAAGGAACATGTCGTCGAAGGTGAAGCCGGGGAGCTGAGAGTCCCATCTGCAACATAAAGGCACATATTCATGCCAAGCTGCTCACAGGCCGGAGCACACAGGGAATCCAGTTAGGACACCTGACTGATTCAGAAGCCTCCTGAATTGCTGCACGCCTGGATCCAGGTTCAAACACTATGAGATGACCCAGGTCATAGGAATGGCCATGACTCACTACCCAGGTTCTGTGTTTGCATTTTTATTCTGTAGTTTGCAAGGCTGAAAACTCCTTTTCTGGGTTATAGGCTCCTTGAGAATCTCACTTGTCTCTGTATTTCTAGTTCTCAATGTCTGGCCTAATCGCTTGGATAAGTATATGAGTAAATGAATAAGTTCTAAGCAAGTTTTCCAACAGAAAAGTGTACAACTCTTAGAGTGACTTTTCTGGATTGGCCAAAGAACTTCCTATCAAAGAATTCGACAGAAAGTCAGAGACGCAGTCAAAGAGAATTGAAGATTGTCTGCACGTGCACGTACAGATGACAGTCTCTGTCAGGATGGGGAACTTCAGCCCCAGGCACAATCCAGACCTGCAGTTCATCCCACTGAGCAGAGGGACAGGGGTGAGAGATGACAGCTCCTTTCATGCTTAATGTTGTGAAAGCTTTACGTCTACAGTGTCGACAGAAGCAAAGACTATGAGACACCATGTCACTCATCTTAGCTACCTGTGTCCCTCTCCTGACTCTTCTGTTACTGTTTGTTAATGAGGCATATATAACACTGGTTTCTATCTTAGGTTATCTTATTAAATAGAGTTTTCTGTTCTACTTAACAAGAACAATGAGTAGAAATAAATAAAAAATGTTCCTTTTTCTGAAATCAGGCAACACTTCGTGTTTTTAAACCTTTGATTAATCATTCTTGTTGAGTTCATGACTAATAGAAAATGAAATCTCTATTGAAGTAAGAAACAGATACCCTCTCTGTTAAACACACACACACACACATGCACACATACGCACATACACACACAGAGAGTCTCTAAGGCTAATATTTCACTTGCATTAATTAGAACCACTGTAATTGAGTCTAGAGCCACTCTGTTTAAAACCAAATAAATAGGGCTTACATCACAGTGCTGGAGTTTTTTCGTCGAATCTGGATCCCAAAAGGATTGGTCTGAATCCTCACATCATACAGGCGGTTTTCAGAGGCACCGACAGGAGAGGAAGGGGTGTTCAGAGGCACTGGGACCTCATACCTCTTCTTAGTGGGATCGGAGATCTGACAAGGAGAGAGAAGGAGAGTTTCTGATGGAATCTCAAACCTGAAACTCCCCATGCCAGCTCATATAATTCAGTTCCCATGTTTTCTGGACAGTTTGAATCAGATCAGGAGGCATCAAATATCCCAAAGCAAATAGATGTGAGGCTTACCCGCCTTCTGTGCCTGACACAAACCCTGAACTGCAAACATGCCTCCGTAATACCCATGTGAAGCCAGAGGGCACTTCCTCTAAAGAATGTGTGAATTAAGAGTACACAAACTGTGTAAGATTATGTGTGAGCATCTGTGTGTTAGAAACTAGAGAAATTCGTTTTCGTAAGGACTCTGTGATCTTGTTATGGTTGAGCTTCCAGATGTTGCTCAGCTTTTCCATTCCTCAGATTACTCTTCCGTATCGGCCCCTCGTTCCTGCCTACCTAACAGGATTGCCGTGCAGGAGAAAGGCAAAGTGTTATGCCAGGGTCAGGGAGAGCTGCCATTGTGAGCAAGTGTCCTTTCTCTCATAATATTCGCCCGCAGGTTACACTTGGGACAAGTTATGTCAAAAGCCTTGCTTCTCAAAATTGCGTTTCTCAGACCAAAAGCAGCTGTATTACCTGGGAGTCTGTTAGGAATGCAGAATCTCAGGCCCCACCCCAGACCTTCTGAATGGGAATCTTCATTTTCACAAGACTCCTAAGGGGATTCATCTGACATTAAAATGTCTAGAGCTGAGCTGTCCAAGGTGCTGTCCACCAGTCACATGTGGACATGAAGCCCATGAAATGCGTTCGTGTGAACTGTAAGGGCAAAATTCACACCAGATTTTGCAGACTTGGTATAATTAAAAGATCCTACAGTATCTCAATAATTGTATTTGGATCACATGGTGAAATGATAATATTTTAGCACATTGGTTAAATAAAATGCTATTAAAATCAATTTTTGATTTTTTTCAAATAACACTTAAAAATATGGTTATTAGAAAACATATGTGGCTCACGTTGTATTTCTATTCAAGCAGAGTGAGGGTGGCCTCTTAACTTGCATCATCAGCATCTTTTGGAACTTGTTAGAAATGCAAAGTCTTGGGCTGGAGACCCCGAGGGGGAGGCCCAGCCACCTGAGTTTTGATAAGGTCTTCAGGTAATTTTGACTCATGCTAAAGTCGAAGAACCAGGGCTAGAGAAATAACTCTAATGTTGGAAGTGAGTTAATGCGGCTCATGTGAGTTTACCACAGAGCAGACATTTTTTCCTCAGGGCTAAGGGATGATTCTTTGAGAATGTTAATGACTTAAGAGTACCTGCTGGGACAGGAAGTTCGCAACTAGGTGGATTTCAGGTCGCATCCCAGCTCTACTGTCTCCCAGCTGTCTGGCCTTTACCTCTCTGGGCCTCAGTACCCTCATCCAAAAGACAGGGCAACGGTATTAAGACATTTCAGTGACTTCCGTCCACCTGGTGCTGTAAGGTAAAGGCCTCCACTCTGAGGGCCAGAACTAGCAACGCGGGGCTCACCTTGAACTGTAGCATGTTTTCGGTGTGGTAGATCACTGTGAGGTTAAGGAGGCTGATCTTTGCAGAGAGAGGGTCAGAGACAGCCGTGGCCGATGAGGGGGAGGATCGCGTGTCCCGTGTTGGTGGTGGCGGTGTTGCCTCTTGCGCTGACCCGGGGGCGGTCAGCAGGGGAAGGTCCACAGTGATGCCGGCAGGCAAATACTGGATGTTACTGGCTGCATAATTAGGGATGGTGTCATAGAAACAGGTGGGCACGCCAGGAACGGCTGTTTGCTGGAACAAGGGGGAGGGCAGGGTGGTGATTCTTGGTCAGCTTCTAACACCACACTCCAAGGTTCGAATTACCAAAGAAGTTGGTCAGCATAGATTAAGTCTCTGCCACCATGTCTGTTACTATGAGTTGGATTATATTCCCCCTCAAAAGATGTAAGGTCCTCATCCCCGGTTCCTGTGGATGTGACCTTATTTGGATAGAGGATGGACATGGGAGGCAGGCACCCGGGGAAAGAACACCATGTGAAGATGAAGGCGGAGATCGGGGTGATGTTTTTGTAAACCAAAAAACACCAAAGATGGCCAGCAAAACATTAGAAGCTAGGAGAGCGACATGAAGCAGATTCTCCCTCACAGCCTCTGAAGGGACCAACCCTGCCGACACCTTGATCTTGAACTTCTAGCTCTAAAACACTGAGATAATACATTTCTGTTGTTTTCAGTCACCCAGTTTGTGGTATTTTATTACGGCAGCCCTAGAAAATGGATACATTCATTTAACACACACACACGTGCCACATGTGTGTGTGTATGCACGCACATACACACACACACACACACACACACACACACACACACACACTGGCCTCCTGTAACAGTTGAGTCGTAAAGGGTCAGCTGGAAGCCTGATCTGGAGACCGGAACCCTAGGGCAGGGTTCTGCTCCCAGTGTCCTTATTGATTCCACTGTGACCTGGAGGACATCACTTATTTTCTCTGGCTTTCTATTTTTCGTATCATCCTGCTTGGACTCTCAAATAGGTGGAAAAGATCACTTAAAATACTCCATGCACAACGTATTATCGCTATGTTAAAAATAAAAGTGGGGTTTCAAATAATGTGGGGGGAGGAAAGAGCCAGAGCAGCAACGAGATTCTTCTGATTCGGGATATCTGAGGAAAACACTGATCACCTCTCCCTCCGAGCTGACAAGATCCCACATGTGTTGGCACAGGATCGTTTTTGTCCTAAAGAATGATTCCTGTTCGACCTGGCAACTTTCGGAAAGTGTTTCCTCGGTGCCTAATTATTCACGGGGCAGATTTTAGAACTTCCCGCTCGTGTGGCAGTCTGCTCCCCAGCCTTACCTCCCACAGGCACCCTCGCTGCCTGCAGCTCTCCTCGGAGGCGGTGGGCTCCTCAGGGTAGCAGTTGAACTTCTCCAGGTCACTGACGGGAAGATTCCACGTAATGGAGAATTCTTGTCCTAGTACCAGTCCCTTGAGATCAGTGATTTTCAACACCTGAGGAAAGAGGAAGTAGGTCATGGTGACAAACGAGGAGAGGTGGAGGCACCCAAGTGACATCTTTCTCTGGGGGTCTGGAAGTTAGGACTCGGGGCGCCGGCCCTTCATCCAATATCACTTTGCCATTGGATTGTTGGAATGTTATTGGTTTTCCTCTGGGGCTTTTGACCTCCCTGCCAGGAAAATGCACTTGGCTTGTCCCTGACCTTTCCTGGCTCGTGGTGTGACTATGGAATACTGAATGGGAAGGGCCGTGATCATGTTAAGGATAGATCACGTGCAGGACTGTCACTATCAGACGACTACCTTCTGAGAGTGATGCTCACACATTTTAATAAGGATGATAGCAAGAACAACAGCTAAACTTTATTGAGCATGGACATGGGCCAGGCACTGTGATAACCACTTTATGTGCATTATCTCTGTTAATCCTGTAAAGCTGCACTATGCTGCGAAAACATGGCTGTCTCTGCTTTACTAAATAGAAAACTGAGGTTCACAGAGGTTTACTGCTTTGTCCGAGATCTCACAGCTAAGGGATGGCAGAGCCAGGACTGGAATCCCATTCTGCCTAACTCTAGAATCCAAGCCCCTCTCTTTTGCTATATGTGTTGGCAAAATGGCAGGGGGCTGCCCTAAGAAACAGTAAATTTCCCAGCACTTGGAATGTTCATTGAACAACTGGAATCTCTTGCCCAAGGTTATCACACAAGGGAATCATTTAATAAGAACAAAACCGATGACGCCTTGTGTTTTATTTAACTCTCCTTTTCTATATTGATACAAAAATAGCTTAAACCGCTAAGGCAATATACCAGCTGTGTCCCAAAGAGAGTCTTGAACTTAAATGAGAGGGTAAAGGTGTAAATACTCTCCAGAACTAGGCCAATGTATCGAATAATACAGTTCGAATAACGTATTGCTATATCACATCTGGGATCAGCATGTCTAGTTTTAAATTTGCCCAGAGAAGATCTGCCTTCCTGCAGGGTCCCCCTGAAAGAACTGTCCTCTTCAGAGTCCGAATGGAACAAAGGGCCGGGGTCCATGTTACACATTCACGCTTCTCCTTCTGCATCCTTCCTACCATACAGTAGATTTCCCAGCATGCCAGTCGCCTCTGTGACTGTCCAAACTCAGAAGAGCAAGGACGACCTAGCGGCCAGAATCTCAGGCCAGGGCTCTCGGCGAGGGCCCTGCAGGACAGCAGGATGGAACAATTTCTCACCTTCGTTGAAGCGCTGTAGTCAACATTTGATATGGAGGTGAAAATATTATTAACTAAGACAGTAAGATTAGTAGGCTGCTTGTCCATTCCCAAGATTATGATGTCTGTGAACATGAGGTTATCAGGGTCCTTGTAATTATTATTTGTAATCTTCGCCTGTAGAAGGTTCTGAAAAAAAAAAAAGTCAGTTTAGAGACCAAGTACGTCACACTCTAACTGTGCCCAAATACCACTCCACATCCTTCTCTCTGAGATCCACAGATGTCCTTTATCTCTGGGGTTCGAAATGGAATTTGTTAACCCAGATTCTGCACAGTCCTAAATCTTTCAGTAATATTTTGTGCTTGCTTTGCTTCACTGGTTATACATTGATTCTATTTACTCAGAAAATATGTTCCTGAGATCATGGAATTTTCAAGTGGATAAGATGATACTTGCAAACAAAAAGACACAAACGCACAAGAGATCCGTTGGCATACAAATGCATAGACACACACACACACACACAAAATACAGCCTGAATAATTTTTTCTTTTTATTTTAATGATAATGGTGATAAGAGCGAAAATGCATAAATGCTTACTATGCCCCAGGCACTATACTAAGCATTTTGTGTATTACCTCACTCAATCCTCACAGCAAACTATGAGGTTGAAGCTATAATGAACCCCATTCTCCAGATCAGGAGACTAAAGGCCAGAGAAATGAGCTAATTTACTCAGGGAACCACAGTTCGAGAGAGACAAAGTTGAGCCATGACAAAGCAAGAGGAGCTGAAGACTAAAGAAAGGAGGGCATTGTGTGGAAAAAAGCCAGTCCCTAAGGCTACAGGCTGTGTGATTCCATGTACGTAACATTCTTGACAGGACAAAAGCGCAGAACTGGCGAACAGGTCAGGGGTTGCCAGGGGCTAAGAAAGGAGGATGGCGGGGAGGCAAGCAGGTGCAGCTGGTATAAAAGGGAACCTGAGGGGTTCTTGGAGTGATGAAAATGTCCTATGTTGATATAGCATCAGTATCAATATCCTTGCTGTAAAATGGCACCGTAGTTTTATAAGATGTTATCATTAGGGGAAACTGGGTGAAGAGTAAAAGGATCTCTCTGTATTATTTCTTACTACTACACGGGGCTCTATAATGATCTCGAAATAAAAAGTATAACTGGAAAAAAAAACTCAATGTAAATTTTAAGGAAAGGAGAAGTAAGGATCGAGTTCCCCACAAAAACAATCTCTGTCCAGGTACAATCAGACTTCTAAGAGAACCGAACTGGAATGCTCCTGTCCTCTGCTAGCTTTGCTGCCTTGCTTTCCCTTAGTCCCTTGGGAAAGAGAGAGAGAGAGAGAGAGAGAGAGAGAGAGCGCAAATAATCTTATGTCCCTTCCGACCTGTCAAAACTGTCACTTCATACCTGTGCCCAAGGTCAAGTTTTGGGAGCTGGAAAGGACGTCTGTTAGCAAAGAACCTCAAAAAAGTACTGTAGCACTTACCACCCACACTCGCACCCCACACACCCCACACACACACTTGTACCCACTTCTTGGAGGTTAGGACTCACCATATAAAACTCAGAGTTGATGATTTTTTTTTTTTTTTTTAAGAAAAAAGCACGTTCTTCCTTGAACTCATACTAAACGTTTATAGGCTTATATATATCTAACACAGATGATAAACTTCAGCTTAACTTTAATTTTTTCCAGGACCATGGGAGTCAGGCACTGGCCCTATTCCACAGGACTAGGCTTCTACGGCAAAGCATAGTCACAGTGAAGAACGTACACTGTGTGTTCCTCAAAAACGGTACTTACAGAGGTGACAGAAAAATCATACAGAATATAATTCTTTTCATCGACAGCATCTGAAAGAGAAAGATCGAGGAGAACTTGTCACACAGGGTGCCGAGGCCGTGCGGTCACGCTCTTCTCTTCGGCGGGACGACCTCTGCCATCTGGCTCTGCCTACCCACATCATACCCGTTTTTGTCCAACCTCCACGAAAGTTTCCTGGACGCTTTAAACCCACAGTAACTGCTCTCTCCTCTGGACCCCGTGGCACTTCGAGTTACTATTCTTCTGGCATTTAAAACATTTTGACTCGCTGTATAGTTACCCACGTGCACCAGGTATCTACTCTGCTGGGCCAGGAGGTCCTCAAAGTCAATGCCTCTGTCTTATTCATCTTTAGCCCCCGGATACGGTGCAACAAGGAACAGCTGATCAATAATAATAAATGCCAGTTCTGCGAAGGGCAGGATTTTTATATAATCACATAAGCTTATGTGAGGTACTTAACGTGGAAGTCCTACAGTGGCAAATCACACTGTGTGAATTAGATACTTCCTCCTCAATAGTAACCAAGCAGTGGTTTTACAAATCTGCTAGCGAAATGTATTCCTTGGTTATCAATAATGATACCCAGAGGCGAGACTAAGTAACCTAGTCAATAACATACAAGTTGCTCATTTGAAGTCGATTTTAATGCATTGTGCTTGGCCAGCCAAACTTTCAAATAAGCATCGACGGTAATGGCTGAGTGCCGGCCTGCAGCGACTAAGTGCGCTGAGCACCGCAGTGATGGAACCACCGTGAGGAGGTACCTGGAGACACGCCATCATCCCAGTACAGTTCTCCCTGTGCTTCTCTCTTATAGTCCAAGGCAACAATGAGTCCCAGGGAGTTCTTCCGACTGTAAAAGAGCAATTCTCAGCTTTAGAGCATGAAGAAGAGGTAGAACAATGTTAAACCAGCCCCCTTCATGCCCCACGGATAGATAATCTCAGAGCCTATCCCAGAAACTGAGTAGATGTTGACCTTGTATGGAGATGTGGAACGTAGGTGTGGGTAGACTGCGGAGGTTAGTAGGGAATGAGCATGAGAAGAAGAGTCGAAAGCAATGGCTCCTGCTGGAAACCGGGTTCATGACAATAGTGACGACTGGCACTTTGGGGTGCTTACCGTGTGCCAGGCACTCTTGTAAGTATCCTATACACATTAAATCATTTACATTATTTCATTCGAGCCTCATAATAGCTCTAAACAAGCCAAACTATCATCATCCCTGGGTTACAAATGATAAGCAGAAACAGAGAATGAGTTGCCATGGTAACACATCTGGTATGTCATAGAGCTGGGGCTTGAACCTAAACTTTCTGGCTCTTGGTCTCGAAGCTCTGTTGACTTTCATGTGATACTGTCATCTCCTATTCAACTCGCATTCTCTCACGCTTAAGAAAACCTACTTAAGAACCATTTCTGACCATAAGGAAATCCTCATGAATGATTATTTTGACTATTCTCAGAATCTGATTCAATCCGGAAGTGAAAGAATATGAAAATATTAAGGAACCGAGGCTACATTTACCCCCTGCTAAATGAAGACGCCAATGTTGGGCCACCCTTGAAAGGAGGGGAGGAAGATTCCTGCCTGGAGCTGCCATCCCTTGGTTTATCCATGTTAAGTCCCCATTTTAGCCTTTCCCACAGTGCCCTGCCCCTAGGAGCAGGAGAAAAGTCACACCTGAGAAGAGCAGAGCGCTCACCTTGCCTCCGTGGTGGTGTTTGGCTGCTGGGTGGGAAATATGTAGCCCCCTCGAAGGTGAAGTCCGATCCTATCGGCGGGCAGCAGCATCTCCACCAACTGCTTCCGCCACTGGATGGCCACCCCCTAGCCAGCAAAGGAAAACAGGTCAGATAATGGGCTCGTGGGGCAAGGTGGGGTCTTGGAGATCTGCTAGCACAGCCGCCTCCTTTTAAGGAAGAGGAAAACAGAGACCCCAAAATGAAGAGCCTTGCCCGAGGCTCACAGGTGGTAGAGCGGAGCTGTGCCTCCAGCCCGCACTCTCTGTGTTAATGCCACGCTGGGCTCTGATTCTCTCGGTTTTCACAACCTAAGTCCAGCCAGGGCGACATAATGAAAGATCCCATAAACCTATGCCAGTTATTCAAATTATTTCATTGCACATTTTGGAAAGGCCTCTTCACAGAAAAACACTCGCAATCAACTAAATGTAAAGCCTCTTACTATATGCGACCCTAGGCCCCCAGCACTGCCACCTGAGAGCTGCCCTCTGCTGCAGGTGGGTCTGTGGGCCCAGGGGGCTGCCTTACTTACTGTCTCGTAGTCGTACCAGATGGCATCTGGTATGTATGCTTTCACTTGGGCCACGCCCTGGGGAAAAAACAACAACGACGAACAACGTTAGCAAGTCCCTCGACAATTTACACAACCACTCCCCATGTGGTTCATGTGCTCGTCTGACCAACCCTGAGAGATAGCTGGGATCTGGCCCTTCTACGAATAAAAATACACGTGCTCAGAAAGGTCGGGCAGTTTCCCCAAAGCAGAGCTGTACCTAGAAATTAAGTTTGTTTTGCTTCGAGGCTCCTGAACTTTCTAAGAGAAGCAGAGAGCGTTCATTCCCCGAGCTGCCTGTGTAATCTGGTAGGTGGAGGAGACCGACACAGCCAGGCCCCCCGGAGAGCCTTCCAGCAGGACCATTGCTGGTCAGCATGACTTGCCACGAGATGGGCTTTCGATGTGGGTACATGGGAGAATTTTCATGTTTATAAACGAATAACCATAATTCTGATCCCTCCCTCATCCCCCCTACCTCCCCACGACTCACCCCTGCCCCGAACCACACTTAGGGAGGTTCATGTGGTCCTTCGTGCAAGGACTCCACGGTTAGAGCCTCTGCTCACCCAGCATCCTCTCCTCCTCCCAGCTCCTCTCCCTCCCTCTTCTCTCTTCCTAACCCCAAGAGCACATCGCCTCTGGTGAAAGAGAAACCCAGACAGATGGCCAGCCCGAGGCATTCAAAGCCCTCTCAGTGTCCAGATGCTTGAGGACGAAGGCTTTAACATAATCTTGCAAACGGAATCTGTTTGGCTCGGGGAGGCAGTGGGACCAAGAATTACTCTTTGTCTAATTTCCCAGCTTTCATGATCTCTCCCTCATTTATATTCATGTTTATACTTAAATGCAACCAAAGAGGCTCAGGCCCAGCTGACTCAGCTATAGAGCCACGAGAACAAGTATGATATCCCGCCCCGCAGTTCCGATTATAAACACACTTCGTATAAAACAGGTGTGATGAGGAGTCCAGGCCCCCATAAGAACTGCTCGTGCACCTCCCACGTCGCTGGGTCCTGGTAGAACCTGGAAAACAGAGAGGCGGGTGAAGCTGCCGATACAGGACAGCAGCGCATTCTGCGCCAACAAGGAAACAGACCTTGCCAAAGCCAACATGGGAAGCACAATTTCGATCTGAAAGGGAGTCTTTGCAGGTCAGGACACTCACTCATGGACCAGGGGCCTCGCCACAGTCTCCCCAAGGCTGTGAGCTCGGTAGAAGAGGGTGTAGAGATAGGGCAGCAGGGTGTAGCGGATGTTCAGATAATGTCTGGAGGAATTCAACAGCAGGGAGTCTTCCCCGAAGGCGGCGGGATCCTGGTCCTACAACGTAAGCAGTTACTAAATATTTCCATCAGAGAGCCCATCTCTCTCTGGACCACTAATGGCTGGGGCAGCCCGGGGAGAAAATACATTGAATATTTGACTATGAATCTTTCCCAAGTTAGAGACATTGGGCCAAGTCAACTACTGGAGCCAAAATGGTTATCAGTTAGTTACTCTGATGAGCTACGAAGAGCTAAACCACTCGATTTGAAACAATTCAGTTGCAGATCACTTCATCAGAAGAAAGGGTACGCCACCTTACTCCACCCCGCCATCACTAAAGATCTCCTTGGGAGGGACTTTCAACCCATTTTATACACCTGCCCATGAAAAAATATGATTTTGGATAGAAGAGGAGAAAGACAGGATACGTCATGAGCAGTAGTGGGGAGGCGTCTCCCAAACCACTCATAGAAAGACAGAACGTTGTAACAAGGTGAAACGAATTTCAGATCCTGTCCCTGCCAATGAGGAGTCGCTTCCCTTGCGTTCAAGTAAAATATCAGTAGACTCCGATTGTCCCATCTATGTGAGGTGGTGACAAGTGAGAGCAGCACCACGAAACCAACCCCCCTTCTCATCTCTGCTGCTGAGTTTCCAGCAATCAAACCGTTATATCTATGTCTATATCTATGTCTATATCTATATCTCACGAAACCAACCCCCTTCTCATCTCTGCTGCTGAGTTTCCAACAATCAAACCGTTATATCTATGTCTATATCTATATCTATCTATATCATCTATGTCTATATCTATATCTATATCTATAATCTATACTTATATCTATCTATATATACCCTTTTCCATACACCCTCACCCCAATATCCTACTTTTCAGGCCTATCACCCAAAACTTATTTGTGGGCTCCTACACTTAGAGCCAGCCTGTAGGATTTTCTTTGTCCCCTCTTTAAGAACAAGCAGATTACACAATCCGAGGAGTTCTCATCACTTCTTATGGAGACCTTACCCTGAATCCAGGCCCATTGTGATTCCTCGAGAGTGGATAAAATGCTCCAAGCTGCATCCATCTTCTGCACAGCTCCTCTGTGACGTTCTCCATGTAACCGCAGATGTTGGCACCTACCTAGGAAGGGGCACACACACAAGCATAGTGGCCAGGGAGAGGGGAGAAAGCACTGCCTGTATACCTATGTGATAAGGGAAAGGAGCATCTCTTAGTCCCACCGGTCTAAAGAGGTCCTAGGCTTTCAGGACAAGCTCTGGCCAACTGGGAGAAAGAAGCAAGTGGGCATTACAGATTGATGAGAGGAAGACTGATTATTGTATCAAGGATCACGCTCAATCATAAGTTCCCAATTTCATACTTCGCTCTTCACTGATGCTTCATTGATGGAATTTTTCTGTGATTCTAATATGTTTTACTTATGGTAAAATCTTATCTCCTTCCTGACCTCAGAGATTCCATGGATGACAACCCAATGACAAAGCGTTATCATCCTGTCTTCAGAAGGCAGCTCACACCACACGTAGAAATGGATTTTTCCAACACATATCACAGTGAGACATATGCTCCTTGGTTTTCAGATGCCTCAAAAGCTGATCGTGGAAAGAATGTCAAAGGACAAAGGGTTAAAGCTCCTTGGCTGAGCGTAAACTCACCATGGGGATACCAAACAGGTTGAACTCGAGGATACTGGGGATGGACCATTGGAGATCATCCCACTTGGCCGCGTTGTCCCCCAACCAATGAGCAGCGAATTTGCCAGATCCAGCAAAAGTAGAACGGGATAAGATGAAGTTCCTTTTATTGGGGAAGATAGTCTTCATGGCCCTGAAAAGGAATATCGCCAATTGAACGTGAAGCAAGCTGTGACTGTCTAGGACATACCTGTACCAAGGGCAGCAGTGGGCTTCCCAAACTCAGAAAAAGTATCAGGGTATCGTGAACCAGGGGAGCGAACTAGATTAGCATTTTAAAAAGCTCCTTTCTCACTTTTGGATAAGGTTTCAGACCTTGCGTAAGACAGTACGAACCTCTACAGTCCAGCTGGCCAAGGAATTTCTCTAGGCCCCTGTCCTGATTACGTTTTCTCCATCCTGTGAGATCTGGTTGAGCTCTGGCCCTTTGGGTTGACAATCTATCGGAACCACAGGGTCCTGGCCCCATCCTCTCCCTCTAGAAAAAGTTTTCCCAATGTCCCTTGGTTCCATGCCTTGCTGCCCACTCATGATCCTGTTTAGCACAACACCTGTTCAGGTGGGAACCCCACACCTGCTGCTTGCCTGAGAGGGGCGTTCGTGCACCAGCCGATCTCTAGGCGCCTGGGATCCTCTGAAGTTTCAGAACTTATTATTAGCAACTCCCAGTGTTAGGGAATCTTAACCTATGCAAACTAACATTAAACGGAATGCATCTCCTAAGACGACATATGATACTCTTTGCGAAGTTAAAAGCAATTAAAATATAAAATGTTACTTTCATCGTATTACAGATCAAATAAAACTATATAGAAAGGAGAGCAAAGGAATTCAGAACAAGGAATTCAGAAAGGATGGGTGGGGATGGGGTGGGATAGACACAGGCTATTTTCCTAGCTTTCATTCAGAACACTCTGTTGCAAAGAAATTTTACTAAAGTGCCCCTCCCTGCCTTCTTCCGTGCAAAGCAATTCACAGCTTCCTTTGGTGTTCCAAAGCTGAACAATAATACAACTACGGAATGGTAATACCGGAGTCGTCACTGCTTCTAGCTCTCTGCAGGCGAGCTCTGCTATCTTTCCTTCCAATAGATGGTCTGAGACAAGTGTGCCACCAGGTGCATTTCCTCACAGACACTATCGCAGCCACCAGTGCTTCCCCTCTTCGTATTCCCAAGGATGCTATGGGGAGTCTCTACATGCAAAATGACTTAAAATGGCCAAAGGGAGAAAATTCTGAACTAGAAGGCTGGTTTAAGAAAGTGAAGGGTTCCATTCTGACAATTTAATGACCAAAAATCGGGGGCAGAGTGGAGGAGAGGACTCACTGTCCAACTCCTGTCCTCATCTGTCCTTGATATAGACTAGCAGCTCCCTTGCCTTTACCCCTGGCTAGAAGGTTTATGGCACTCAGCAATCATCAATCATGAAAGAAACACATTCGGGTTATATAAAATGAAACTGAAAGAGGGATAAAGTTATCTGGGTTTCTGGTTTAGGGCCAGGCTATTATGGTAGTACACACTAAATAACAATCTAGTTTGTTCCCACTTAGAGGAAAAATATAATTCAAAGATCCTTAAGTCTCTATTCTGCATTCCTCAGGTTTGACCCATTTATGGTCAACTCTTGATCTCAGAGAGGATCTGGTCTCTTTCTGCTTTCAGCTCAGATAAAAGTGAATTTCATTCTCTGGGTAGACTAGTGAATGGTCTATGGTCCCCAAACTCTATTCTCAGCTTCCCAAATATTCATCAGATCTATGACTTAAATTCTCCTGATGTCCAGATCCTATTGAATGAAAATCTTATCTGTTTTTTAACCAACTCTGCCTAATGCCCAAAGGCCAAGTTCCACTTATGGCCACTGTTCTCTGGGAACTTAGACCTTTTACCCATTAACCAGAGCTATTAGAACATATTAACCAACGCTGTCATGATTTTATGGCACTTTTATCACATGGAGACACAAGCAATACAGGAATTTGAACACCTCTGTCCCACCTCCTGCCCTCTGTTACTCTCGCTTTCTCGGCCTGGCCATTTATCCACTCTTTCTGAACACCTCTTTCCCACCTCCTGCCCTCTGTTACTCTTGCTTTCTCGGCCTGGCCATTTATCCACTCTTTC